GCCTGAAACTTGAGGCCTACGCGGTCGGTGCAGTGGCGGCTGAAGTCTGAGACGCTTGAAACGCGAATCCTACGCGGTCGACGCAGTCGCGGCTGAGGCCACAGTGGCTGAGCCGCTGCGAACGCGGTGCCGCGAGGGACTGAGCACTTAGTAACGCAACTATGCGACGTCTCACATCGTGCTTCACTGGAGTGCGTAAAAGGCGCAAGTACTTTTCTCCTTAGCGTTCCCTACTCGTCGCTTACGTCGCTTACTACCAACGCGTACCGCTGGTGTAGACCTTATTCTTGCTGAGCAGGTTTGTCGGCGACGCGCCGGATGTGAACCATGTCGTGCATGAACGCTTGCCTTTTTTGATACGAAAATGTGCTCCTAAATATGCTACGTCGTCACGAACGCTTACGCTGACCCACAAGCTCAATTTGAAGTATTGCCAGCATTTTTATTTCGCCTGTACGCTGTCATCGCATCACCGTTACTCGCGACGACACAGGTCTTCGTGCTTGCCTTCCAGCGGCGCCGCGGCTCTCCCGACCCAAAATGAATGTGGCTATGTAACAGCAAATTTGGGGAGTCGTAAAGGGATCAGCTTAGTACTGTTAGAAACACTCGTGCCATTGGAGAACATTTCGTGGTGGAGGTACGCAGATGACGATACGCATGCCCAGTGGAACTATATGAAGAGAAGAAAACAACAACAAAAGTGCATTCTTTGAACTCGGGATGTTTTTGTTTCGCCACATTAAATATATTATTCCACTGCAGTGCCGGTTTCAAAGAATGTTATTTCCTCAGTACCTTTAAAACAACCAAAGACCTTACATGAGGCACATACATGCAAAAATGAACAATGTGACGATGCTGGAACAGTATGGCCATCAGCTATAAAGCAAAATGGCAAGTTCACACAGAAAAACAACAGTATACATAAAGATTAAAAGAAGTTGACAAATTCAAATCATAGTTTCTCCCAAGAACTAGGATAAAGCAAACGGGCATGTCGCCTGAAATGTACGAGGCACATGAGGCTGACCAGTCACGCAGTCACAAGAGACTTAAAACCGGTTTCGCGGCATTCCTGTCGTAAGCAGTGGCAGGTGTGAAACAGCCTGAACTAGTGATGCTTCCGCTGTAAACACCAATTGTAAGCAATAAATAAATTTCTTTTGTTCTTACTAAATTTGCAGCATGTCGGATGTTGTAGGAGAATCTCGCATCACACTTGTGTGCGCAAGCCCAAAACTAACACGACTTCAAAATGAGCAGAGATCTGAAAACTCGTGTGGGATTCGAAATCACACCCAACAATCCTTGAAATGGAGCAACTGTATCTGTTCGAACGAGCAGCTGTGTATTTCCTTTCATTAATCTAGACGGTTTAAATGGATGTAGTTTTTGCCTTTGTACATAACATGTGTCAATGAGCATCGACAACAGAAGAATGAAAACACGTTAGAGAGCAGCTGGACCCAATTCTACTTGCTGGCTGATGAGATCGTGGACGACAACATGAAGCGTGCAGTCTTCAGCCGCGCATGTAAACCCTTCGTGTACACCCCTCTTTCAATCTTTTTTTTTTTTTTCTCCGCTTTTCAAGTATCTTTAGAGATGCTAGCAAAAAAGGAACCTTGGGGCTAAGGACGCTGGTAACTGGTCACCGGATAATGCTCAACAAGTGCTGAAGACAAGTCTGTGCCCGACTACATTACTGAGCTGCGTCATGTCGCTCAGCACTGCGAGTAGACATTCTTGTACAAGATGTTTTGTGGCCGGTTGGTTAATGGTGTATGCGAGGAAGTCGTTCAGCCACACCACCTTGCCATGTCAAATCTCGTTTGCTAGGCCTCAACAACTTGTGACTGCTGCGGAGTACGCCACAAACCTTACACGAGAGACCCCTGACTTCCGGGCTCCAGAAGTGGCAGAGGTTTGCCACATTGACAAACACGACCCACAGAAGGCATCAAACGGTTCATCAATGCCAAGCCACAACCCTGGCGCAGTGAAGACATGTCCCGAGTACAGCTGGATAACGTTGGCATCAAAATGTTCTGCACGACGCAAGTAGCTACAATTTTGAACGTGCCATTTCTGGGACGGAAAGAGGCACATGATACGTGCATGCCGTCGGTAGTTGGCCAAATCCAAGCACCACGTTCCGGAAGCGGGAACCAGTCATCGTCTGGAATAAGACGGATCAAAGGCAGAGCCTTAGCTTTATCGAACCGGAATGGAAATTGTTGAAGTTCAACTCAATGATATTCCCATCTGCATAGAAGTGGACTCTAGAACTGCTTAGTCCGTAATTGTTCTGAAGAGAATGTGTCATCTTGGAACGGCTGCAGAGACTTAAATGTAAACCGCTTTCCGAATGTATTCACAACGCAAGTTTGTAGTTCTGGGAAGTGTCAATTTTTCCACGCGGTTAAAGGGAAAGTAGAGTGAGCCACCATTGCTCATTCCGATTCCAAGTGTTCATTAAGCTCCGCACTTTCGCGCTAAATCCAAACTTCATACTCAAATATCACAAGCCTCGATTTGTTCCTTTGGCACTTGAGCCAAACATCACGTAACTCGTGACACAAGGAACTTTTCCCCCATTGCAGAACTCTGCATGGGCTACGCCAGCTGCACTCGTGGAGAAGTAAAATGGCATGATCTGGCTATGTGGAGGTTGTAAACGCATCATTAATCGAATCTTGAAACGGGAGTCACACTCTCTGTCAAAAGCAGAGCAAATGTTGACATAACTTGCAACACAGTCCTTTTAATACGCTCTTGGTCACGAGAGTTCCCCGTAACGCTATGGAATGGCTTGGTATACGACCAAGGTGTGGCGCTGAAGTCGACAAGGTGCGAGAAAGCTGTCAATGTAGCCAGCACTGCTGAGAAGTGGGCATCCAGGAAGGGTTATTGTAATTTCGAACCCACTCTGAATGAGCCACCTTGAGATCACGGTGACGCGTCACCGCACTGGCAGCGTTCCTCATAAGTCTAAGTGTCTTTGGCTGTGTACGCTGAGTCAACTGGTCAGACTTTATAACCCTCACTGCAAGTACCAATTGTAAACAGTGTTGAATGTCATATCCGGCAGCAACACTTGCATGAACAGCGTGCAAAGTCCCAGTGACGACACTCCCTCGGCCCGCTTCGCTCGCTCGGATCAAGTATTGTTCGCAGCAGGAGACGGCGAACATAGATAGAACTATCTCAATGAATGTCGCAACGTCCAGTCCGCTGTTCCGTTATTTTAACCGAAACTCATTATTGAAACGCATTAAAATCCAGTATGCATTCAATCGACGACGAGGAAGTTTCTCGACCCCTGAGGATGGACGACTCCGCTCATCACGGATAGACTCTAAAGTTTTCTCCCGGTGGGAACTGCAGTTAGTGTTTGGAACGCCTCAAATTTTACTTCGAGGCCAAGAACATCACAAGCTCCACAAAGAAGCGAGCAATCCTCCTGATGTCCTACGTTGAATCAACCTACGACACTGTATGAGCCCTGCTCGCACCCAAACAGCTTTCAGAGGTTGAGTTTGAGGAGATAATCAAGTTCCTCAATGAACACTATGACCCCAAGCCGGTGGAACTGCTCATTCGGTTCAAATTCTATCAACGAAACAATCCAAACACCGACAGATTCCATCTCCGAGTATGTGGCCGCACTGCAAAAAATAGCTGCTGACTGCCACTTCGGCACAGTGACGGCCATGCCGACCACACCCACCCCGACAACAGCCACGACAGACATGCCCGTGTCAAATGCCAGTTCATCGCGAGAGACTCGACATGCCCCGCAAGCACCAGCGAGAGCATTCTCCACTGTACTACTGCTCCTACTGATGGTGAGGGACCGATTAATTTGTGGGATCAAGGATTCCCACCTTCAACAATGTTTGCTAGTGGAAGGGAACATCACCTTCAACTGTGCCTACACTCTCGCATTGGCAACAGACTCAGCTGCCAGCCAGCAACTCCAGATCCAGAAACAAGGTAAGGTAAGGGACACAGTTCCACTGCAGCCACAAGGGGGCAAAGTCATGAAAGAAACCCCGTTCTTCGTTGCACAGGTACACGTTCGCCTGTTGAATGGAAGCGTGCTAAAGTCGCGTGCAAATTTTTACACAATGGACACCTCGAAGAAGCGCGTTTTAGTCACAGAGTTCAGCCCGGACAGTCAACCAGAGTCAAGTCGCGATACAAAGAGGGCTGTTCAGAGTGGCAAAAAAAAAAAGTATAGGAAAAACCGTTACTGTGGAAGCCCACGCTTTTCTCGCAGATTACTCTTTTCGCCGTTGCAGACCCATCACAGCGAAGCTGTTGTTCTGGCAACAACCGCTTAACAGGGGACAGTTGCTAACACCGATGCAGCCACACTAAAATCGCTGACTGCCACAGACACCCCCCCCCCCCCCCCCCCCCCCCCCCTGGGCAAGACAAGGTATGCCAGCAGTGCCCGAAACCAAACTTAATGTCCGTGTTTACAAAGCGTAAGTAAAGTCGATGTGCCTCTCGAATTCAGCAACACTGGTTTACAGCATCAATAAGAAATTTCGCCGGCTGCACTATGACTGCCGGCCTGAGGCCTTTAACATGCGTCACAGAGTAGTGATACGTCACCGCACGCCGGTACGATGCTCGTCCAGATTGAAGCGAGCAGGAATGGCAATTGAACATCGAACGCCTGGGTTTTGTGGTCCGAGCCTCCTGCTTCACGTGCTCCCAGCTGTGGCGCACCAACACACTCGGCCGACGATCCCCCTCAGCAGCGTGCCCTTGAAGAGTTGTGTGCCTCGGCCCAATCCCATGAGCCGATCACTCGTCCAATGTGGATGCTGTAACCCTGCAGGCAAACAAGGTGCTCACGGTTACAGATTGCCACTCATCTGTGAGCTCAATTGACGTTAACACATTGGTATTTCCAGGCCTGGGTCCGCAACTGAGTGAAACCTACTCGACATGTGTCCCAAGAAGGCCGCCAGCTGTCGAGGCCTTTAGTGCAGTCTCGCACTGGGCACATTGTCCTGCACATTCCTCTGCAGGGAATGGGGCCTCTTTCTTGGCCTCTTGGCAGGCTGGTCACTCGGTGGGCGTCCGGCTGGCACCCTTTTTGAGCCCCTCGTCAGCCCTGGCCTACGTCGGGCAAAGCTCGTAGGCTGCACCCGGATCTGGCGTCCCCGGCGGCTTCGTCCTGCCGCAGTCGCCTTGAGGCTCAACTTGAGGCCGGTGGCGTCGTTGCCATTGGGCACACGGTCCAGCTCGTCCCCAAGACCCTGCAGGATCTCAAGGTACGTTGCGCTGTCCTCGTTCATGGCGTGCAGGTGCTGCAAGCTCGATTCCAGACGCTGGTACACTTGTTCTCGTGCCTGCACAAAAAGCGGTGAGGCAAGCAGGTGAGCAAGTTACCTCCTGTCCATACTCTGTCTCACTTTAAGTGCGAGAATAGCAGGAGCTACAAGGAAGGGCGAGCTTCAAGCTTTTGGCACCCCTGCAAGGCATGAACGCTTGTGCAGTACAAGCTCTTTTTAGGGCAACATGTTTGTGCTTTTAGCTCTAGCTTTGCTGCCTCAGAATGTGAAACAAACTATAGTTTGAACTTGCAGGAAGCCCACGGCATTGTTGTCAACACCCATGTTGTGGTGAAGGTTCAGACTTTGAGGCTACAAACAACCACTAAAAACGCCTGTTTCTTTTTTTTTTTTCAATTGGTACACATGTGCGTTTTGCAAGCACACTTGCTTGACATTGCAGTAAAGTTGCACGACTGCGATTCTGGCCAGACATTGGTGCCACTTAGGAAATGAGTCCTGCCATTTGTAGGCCAGTGAGCAACACACCAGGCCAGTCATACCCATATGCCGGACATTAAGATTGATCACGGTAATACCTGGAGCGTCTCGGCATATATACCCATGCTAAAACAGTGAAAGCGGGCTCTCTGAGCTTCACTCATCTGCTAAGTTGCTTTCACATTTTAGACTGGACCAAACACCCTGTAGAAACGAAACAATTATGCAACAATCATCAGTTTTCATTTAGTACGGCAAACATGAATGCGTGGCTGGCAACAGCCAGGAAATATGTACCACCTAAAATTCCAGGCACTGCACTAGTGCACCTCCTAGTATGACCTACAAGAAGTGTTTGTGTTCTACAAGTCTACTACCGGTGACCGACAGAAAGTTTTTTTCAGCCTCTGCTGTGTATTCAGATCGCCGAGAAAAGAAACAAAGAACTGGAGTGAGCACGAACATGAAAGAGCACACATACTTGGGCAATCTGAGCCTGGTCAGGTCCCTGCACAGCCGGTGACGCCACAGCTGAAGTGGAGGGCTCGGGGGCTTCTGCCATGTCACTGGCTTCGGCAATGTGCTGGCCTTCCGAGGCCTGGGCGGTACAGCTGGCCACGTCTGGCTCTTTTGACGACTGCTGCCCTTCACAAAAAGGCATGAAAAAATTTTGCAACGGACACTTGTCTCCCAAGTCCAACTTTCCCAGTCGGTGACGATCCCCCGTGCTCGAAGGGGGGGCATTGGGAAACAACCCTCCAAAGGTCTCGTGCACAAGGGCCTGATGCTTGCAAAACACCCCTTGTTTTCCGACTGGGCAGCTGCACGCTCCGAAGCTTGGCGACACTTCGTACACCACGCCGTTGTTGGTGGAACTGGGCACCGCATAGACGTTGCCGCCCACAGGCTTGATGTTGTCTGCTGCACCTTGTGGCATCCTGCTGAACAGCCACGTGTATTCCAGCTGGTGACCGGCGACACGACTGTGGGCATGGCGGAGGATGCGGCTCTCGAAGTACCGCTCCCACACCACGGCCACCGCATCCACCAGTGCCACCGCGTTAAAGGCCTCCGTCCTGTTCAGAACCATGTCCTTCAGGACACGGATGGTGGCCTCAGCGAAGTTGTTCGTGTTGTGCCCCCGTGTGGTGATGTTGGCAAGGAATAGCAGCACCCACTCCTCCCGTCTCCCAAGGAAGGCCTCCAACCGTGCCACGAAGGCCTGGTGCGGTTGAAGCTTCAGCTGGGCAGTTGCAGCTTCTAGCTTCTCTTCACTGTCGGCGTACATCACCTGCGGTTGGTCATTGTACCTGAGAATCTTCTAATGGAGATCCGGCCAGCACCTGCCAGACTCCCACAGACACATTACAATGAAAATGCCACTCTGCTGGCGCAACCGGTGTTGAGGTGTGTTGCTAGACCCGATATTACCTTCTTCCTCACTCCTCAGAACCCTAGAATGTTGCGCAAGTGCCCCTGTTACAAACAAAACTTGCCTCCTGGAAGAGCGACATCAATTGACGCCTCTGGTCCTTGTCGACGCGGTTGCGAGCTGCCGTCAGCCAGCGCCACTCCGCCTGTGCGACGTGGAAATGGCAGAGAAGCTGCCTCGCTGTGGGCCACGTCTCCTGCACCGCAGCCTTTTCCGCACTGGAGCTGTCAGTCATCGCCACGTTCGGTGCCTGAGAAACGATAATACATATGTGGCCGACCATGAGGCACAACGCTAAAAACTGGACAATCGTGCTTATATTAAATTCCCGTGGTAATTCTTTCACACATTTATGCCCAAAATACCAATTTACGGGAACTGTCACTTTGGCGCTGCTAGCATTTCCTGTACTGCAACATTTCCTTCCATTCTCTTGTTCCCAACCTAGGCTTTGCCGCTTGCACTCATGCCACAGAGACATGGTTTTTGTTAGTGTGTTCACTGCTCGGCGATGATAACAAAAATGAACTTTGAAACATGAAGGTGTCATGTCCTTTAGCTTTTGCTAAATGTGAACTAAATACAAAATGCTATAGTTTATCTTTCTCTCCAACTTACCGACTGGCCCCCCAACCAAAGTGGGTGTGTGTCACGGAGGAGCTTGAACGCAGTCAGGTACCCCTCGGTGCTCTGCTCGTTGTGAACTAGCCCTGCGACGGGGACGGTGCCAGCCATCGTTGCCACGAGCACCACCGAGACGGTGCATCTGGTCGAGCAAGAGGACGTGGAGTGTATGAAGACGATGTCTTTCGTCACGTCCAGTGCTTGGGCCCGCTGCATGATCGGGGTCACCACGAGAACCGCCCAGCAGGTGCTGCTATCGCTCCGGCTCACCGTCACGCCAGTGCCTGGAAAGTATTGTGTAAGAGCCTTGCTAAAACGGTGGCTCTTTTTATCCACTTTTTCTTTAGGCACTCAATGCCTCAAAATTTGCTCCTGCATGCTACAAAATAATAGTAATGAAAAATAAAAGAAGTTTGGTTACTGTTGAAATAGGTGGCTACGAAACTCTGCACGAAAACTACCTATTGTGTACTTCGAATGTAGGCAGCGGCTTTTGGCATGCCATGCAATTTACGTGAACCCGAGACATGATTGCCGGTTAGAGTTGTCCTGTAATATCTTAGACCCGCTTGAACAACAGCAACCGACATTGACCAACCTCAAGCACGTGAAAGTATCCTTGGCAGAGTTTCAATCACTTGTTTTTACTTCACGAGCACAGGGAGATTCAAAGTCTTTCATAGGTACCTTTGTGACTGCTGCACGTGCTTGAAGTTGATCAAAGTAGCTCGTTGTTTTCTTGTTGCTCAAATGAGACTTAATTAAACATGTCTAATGTCGTGGCCCAAGCTCATACACCGACAACATATTTCTTTTGGCAAAGTGACAACTCAGGAATGGGCCTTAGCACTGTGGTAAGTCGTGGCATACCTTGAGCTGCGTAGAGGGTTGCCTTCTCCTCCAGCTTGGACAGCGGGGCAATGGCGCCACCGCCAAAGCATGTGGTGCTCCACACGCTGTGCCAGTGTTGTGCAGTCCTGGTCGTGGGGTTCAGGGCACCGTTGACCAGCAGCACAGGACCGCCGCCCTCTAGGCACAGCTTGCTCTCGTGGAGCCTCCGAGCCTCGCAGACAGTCATCCCGTCGCTGAAGTAGCTGAAGTCACAACGTACCTTGAGATCCTGCAGGGTCTGGGGGACGAGCTGGACCGTGTTACCAATGGCAACGACGCCACCGGCCTCATGTTGAGCCTCAAGGCGACTGCGGCAGGACGAAGGCGCCGGGGACGCCAGATTTGGGTGCAGCCTAAGCACCTTGCCCGACGTAGGCCAGGGCTGACGAGGGGCTCAAAAAGGGTGCCAGCCGGACGCCCACCAAGTGACCAGCCTGCCAAGAGGCCAAGAAAGAGACCCCATTCCCTGCAGAGGAATGTGCAGGACGATGTGCCCAGTGCGAGACTGCAATAAAGGCCTCGACAGTTGGCGGCCTTCCTGGGACCCATGTCGGGTAGGTTTCACTCAGTTGCGGACCCAGGCCTTGAAATACCAATGTGTTAACGCCAATTGAGCTCACAGATGAGTCGCAATCTGCAACCATGAGCACCTTCTTTGCCTGCAGGGTTACAGCTTCCACAGTGGACGAGTGATCGGCTCATGGGACTGGGCCGAGGCACACAACTCTTCAAGGGCACGCTGCTCAGGGGGATCGTCGGCCGAGTGTGTTGGTGCGCCACAGCTCGGAGCACGTGAAGCAGGAGGCTTCGACCACAAAACGCAGGCGTTCGAGGTTCAATTGCCATCCCTGCTCGCTTCAATCTGGACGAGCATCGTACGGCGCGCGGTCACGTATCACTATTGTGTGACGCACGTTAAAGGCCCCAGGCCGGCAGTCATAGTGCAGCCGGCGAGATTTCTCATCGATGCTGTAAACTAGTGTTGCCGAATTCGAGAGGCACATCGACTTTACTTACGCTTTGTAAACACGGACATTAAGTTTGGTTTCGGGCACTGCTGGCATACCTTGTCTTGCCCAGGGGGGGGGGGGGGGGGGGGGGGTCTGTGGCAGCCAGCGATTTTAGTGTAGCTGCATCGGTGTTGGCAACCGCCCCCTGTAAAGCGGTTCTTGCCAGAACAACAGCTTCACTCTGATGGGTCTGCAACGACGAAAAGAGTAATCTGCGAGAAAAGCGTGGGCTTCCACAGTAACAGTTTTTCCTATACTTCTTTTTGCCACTGTGAACAACCCTCTTAGTATCGCGACTTGACTCTGGTTGACTGTCCGGTTGGACCTTTTTGGCCTTACGTTTCTATTTGTACCCCCAGATTTCTTTTCTGACGCGGGAGTCTACTAATTTCCCGTGCGTTTTGCGCTTATTTTGCAATCTCATTCATTTTAGACCTGACTGCATTGTCCAACACATTCCAAATCGGAGACGTGTGGAGGAGGTTTATTCACTAATACATACTGGGGTTAAATGCGTTTTTTTAATGAACTTCGGTTGAAAGAACGGTGAAGCGAACTGCAAGCTGCGACGTTTGTTGGAGAGTGTCTGATCGAGTTCCAAACGTCGTCCGTTCACCAGGAGAGCAACAATGATCCAAAACGGGTCCCCTTCAGCGACGCTGCTCACTGCAAAGTGGTCTCCATGTGTCTCACCTTGCGTAACTGTCAACCGACGGGTGCGACTTAACGAGCGTTCCTGTGACTTGCGTTGAACTCTGTGACTGAAACGCGCTTCTTAGAGGTGTCCATTGTGTGAAAATTTGCACGCGACTTTAACAAGCTTGCATTCAACAAGCGAACGGATACCTGCGCAACAAAGAACGGGGTTTCTTTCATGACTTTGCCCCCTTGTGGTGGCAGTGGAACTGTGTACCTTACCTTACCTTGTTTCTGGATCTGGAGTTGCTGGCTGGCAGCAGAGTCTGTTGCCAATGCGAGAGTGTAGGCACAGTTGAAGGTGATGTTTCCTTCCACTAGCAAACATTGTTGAAGGTGGGAATCCTTGATCCCACAAATGAATCGGTCCCTCAGCATCACTTGGAGCGGTAGCACAGTGGAGAATTCTCTCGCTGGGGCTTGCGGGGCATGTCGGGTCTCTCGCGATGAACTAGCATTTGACACGGGCATGGCTGTCGTGGCTGTTGTCGGGGCGGGTGTGGTCGGCGTGGCCGTCTCTGTGCCGAAGTTGCAGTCAGCAGCGATGTTTCGCAGTGCGGCCACATACTCGGAGATGGAACCTGTCGGTGTTTGGTTTGTTCCGTTGATAGAATTTGAACCGACTGAGCAGTTCCACCGGCTTGGGGTCATAGTGTTCTTTGAGGAACTTGATTATCTCCTCAAACTCAACCTCTGAAAGCGGTTTGGGTGCGAGCGGGGCTCACACAGTGTCGTAGGTTGATTTAACGTAGGTCATCAGGAGGATGGCTGGCTTCTTTGTGCAGCTTGTGATGTTCTTGGCCTCGATGTAAAATTCGAGGCGTTCCATACACTAACTGCAGTTCCCACCGGGGGAAAACTTTAGAATCCATCCGTGATGAGCGGAGTCGTCCATCCTCAGGGGTCCAGAAACCTTTTCGTCGTCAATGGAATGCATACTGGAGTTTAATGCGTTTCATTAATGAGTTTCGGTTGAAATAACGGAACAGCCGACTGGACGTTGCGACATTCATTGAGAGTTCTATCTATGTTCGCCGTTTCCTGCTGCGAACAATACTTGATCCGAGCGAGCGAAAGGGGCCGCGGGAGTATCGTCACTTGGACTTTGCACGCTATTCTTGCAAGTTTTGCTGCCGCATATGACATTCAACACTGTTTACAATTGGTACTTGCAGTGAGCGTTTTAAAATCTGACCAGTTGACTCTGCGTACAGAGCCAAAGTCACTTAGACTTATGAGGAACGCTGTCAGTGCGGTGACGCGTCACCGTGATCTAAAGGTGGCTCATTCAGAGTGGGTTTGAAATTACAAAAACACTTCCTGGATGCCCACTTCCCAGCAGTGTTGGCTAGGTTAACAGCTTTTTCGCACCTTGTCAACCTCAGCGCCACACCATGGTCGCATACCAAGCCCTTCCATAGCGTTACGGAGAACTCTCATGACCAAGAGCGTATTAAAAGGACTGTGTTGCAAGTTATGTCAACATTTGCTCTGCTTTTGACAGAGAGTGTGACTCCCGTTTCAAGATTCGATTAATGATGCGTTTACAACCTCCACATAGCCAGATCTTGCCGTTTTACCTCTGCACAAGTGCAGCTGCCGTAGCCCATGCAGAGTTCTGCACTGGGGGCAAAATCCCTCGTGTCACGAGTTGCGTGATGTTTGGCTCAAGTGCCAAAGGAACAAATCGAGGCTTGTGATATTTGAGTATGAAGTTTGGATTTAGCGGTGCGGAGCTTATTGAACACTTTTAATCGGAATGAGCAATGGTGGCTCACTCTATTTTGCCTTTAACCGCGTGGAAAAATTGACACTTCCCAGAACTACAAACTTGCGTTGTGAATACGTTCGGAAAGCGGTTTACGTTTAGGTCTCTGCAGCCGTTCCAAGATGGCACATTCTCTTCAGAACAATTACGCACTAAGCAGTTCTAGTGTCCACTTCTATGCAGATGGGAATACCATTTAGTTGAACTTCAAAAATTTCCACCCCGGTTCGATGAAGCTAAGGCTCTGCCTTTGATCCGTCTTATTCCAGACGATGACTGGATCCCGCTTCCGGAGCGTGGTGCTTGAATTTGGCCAACTACCGACGGCATGCACTTATCATGCGTCCCTTTCCGTCCCAGAAATGGCACGTTCAAAATTGTAGCTACTTGCGTCGTGCACAACATTTTGATGCCAACGTTATCCAGCTGTACTCGGGACATGTCTTCACTGCACCAGGGTTGTGGCTTGGCATTGATGAACCGTTTGATGCCTTCTGTGGGTCGTGTTTGTCAATGTGGCAAACCTCTGCCATTTCTGGAGCCCGGAAGTCTGAATCTCTCGTGTAAGGTTTGTGGCGTACTCCGCAGGGGTCACAAGTTCTTGAGGCCTAGCAAAAGAGATCTGACATGGCGAGGTGGGGTCGCTGAACGGCTTCCTCGCATACAACATTAACCAACCGGCCACAAAACATCTTGTACAAGAATGTCTACTCGCAGTGCTGAGCGACGTGACGCAGCTCAGTAATGTAGTTGGGCACAGACTTGTCTTCAACACTTGTTGAGCATTATCCGGTGACCAGTTACCAGCGTCCTTAGCCCCAAGGTTCCTTTTTTGCTAGCATCTCTGAAGATACTTGAAAAGCGGAGAAAAAAAAAAAAAGATTGAAAGAGGGGTGTACACGAAGGGTTTACATGCGCGGCTGAAGACTGCACGCTTCATGTTGTCGTCCACGATCTCATCAGCCAGCAAGTAGAATTGGGTCCAGCTGCTTTCTAACGTGTTTTCATTCTTCTGTTGTCGATGCTCATTGCCACATGTTATGTACAAAGGCAAAAACTACATCCATTTAAACCGTCTAGATTAATGAAAGGAAATACACAGCTGCTCGTTCGAACAGATACAGTTGCTCCATTTCTAGGATTGTTGGGTGTGATTTCGAATCCGACACGAGTTTTCAGATCTCTGCTCATTTTGAAGTCGTGTTAGTTTTGGGCTTGCGCACACAAGTGTGATTCGAGATTCTCCTACAACATCCGACATGCTGCGAATTAAGTAAGAACAGAAAAGGTTTATTTATTGTTTACAATTGGTGTTTACAGCGGAAGCATCACTAGTTCAGGCTGTTTCACACCTGCCACTGCTTACGACAGGAATGCCTCGAAAGCGGTTTTAAGTCTCTTGTGACTGCGTGACTGGTCAGCCTCATGTGCCTCGTACATTTCAGGCGACATGCACGTTTGCTTTATCCTAGCTCTTGGGAGAAACTATGATTTGAATTTGTCAACTTCTTTTAATATTTATGTATACTGTTGTTTTTCTGTGTGAACTTGCCATTTTGCTTTATAGCTTATGGCCATACTGTTCCAACATCGTCACATTGTTCATTATTGCATGTATGTGCCTCCTTTAAGGGCCTTGGTTGTTTTAAAGGGACTGAGGGAATAACATTCTTTGAAACCAACACTGCAGTGTAATGATATATTTAATGTGGCGAAATAAAAACATCCCGAGTTCAAAGTATGCACTTTTGTTGTTGTTTTTCT